CAGCATGCCATTCTTCTGGTTACCATAAGGAGTCCCTGTTTACATTATTTGTAATTCATAATAAAGAATTCTTTAAGAAATATCATAGACACTGCTGTGCTATTGGGACATACAACTCATGGGTATGCATAAATAAATGTCAGTCTCTACACTGTCAGTCAGTCATTACACTGTCAGTCAGTCACTACACTGTCAGTCAGTCACTACACTGTCAGTCAGTCACTACAACAACAACAACAACAAAATTACATTTATAGAGTGCCTTTCACGTCGGAAAGACGTCCCAAAGCGCTGAACAGTCAGGTGTCGGGGCCCGAGCATGGGGGAGGGGTGGTGGTGTAGGGATGAGGGAAGGCAGAGAGGTGGGAGGGAGACTAAAGGCACAGTCGAAGAGGAGGGTCTTGAGACCGGCCTTGAAGGAGGCAAGGGAGGAAGCGAGGTGAAGGGACTGTAGGATGGAGTTTCAGAGTGTGGGGGCAGAGAGGCTGAAAGCTCGGCCACCAATGGTACGATGGGTCGAGCGGGAGACATGGAGCAGGTCAGAGCCCGATGAAAGGAGGGAGCGGGCAGGTTGGTAGGGAGTCAGCAGGTCAGAGAGGTAGGAGGGGGCAAGGCCATGGATGGCCTTAAAAGTGAGGACGAGGATCTTGAACTCGATCCTCTGGGGGATGGGGAGCCAATGGAGTCGGGCGAGGGTGGGAGTGATGGAGCCTGGTGCGTGAGAGTACACGAGCTGCAGAGTTTTGGATGATCTGCAGTTTGTGAAGGAAAGAGTTGGGAAGGCCGATGAGGAGGGAGTTTCCATAATCGAGCCTTGATGTGTTGAATGAGTGGGTGAGGGTTTCGGCAGCCTGAGGGGTGAGGCAGTGGCGGAGTCTGGCAATGTTGTGGAGGTGGTGGTAGGCAGTGCCGGTCATGGTGCAGATGTGGGGGAGAAAGGACAGTTGAGGGTCAAACAAGATACCCAGGTTCCTGACTGGCTTAGTGAGGTTGAGTATGCAGCCGTGGAGGCTAATGCTGCCAGCGCCTGAGGTGCGGAGGTGCTGGCGCGAGCCAATCAGCAGGGCCTCAGTGGTTCATGACGTTGTGTTGGAGAAAGTTGGCCCTCGTCCAGGACTTGATGTCCAGGACAGAGAATCGGTCAGGACGCCAGTAGTCCTGGAGTTCAGGGTGGAGGCAGAGAGGTAGAGTTGGGTGTCATCCGCATACATGTGGAAATTTACCCCATGTCTGCGGATGATGTCACCAAGGGGGACGATCTAGAGGGTAAAGAGGAGGGGACCGAGGACAGAGCCCTGAGGAATACCGCATGAGATGGTGCGAGGGCTGGAGGAGAAGCCTTTGCCCCGATGAAGTGGAGGTGGTGTGAAGTGGAGGTGGTGAGATGGACCGGTAGCTGGATAGCTGTGATGGGTCAAGAAAAGGATTCTTCAAGGTGGGGTTGATGGTGGCTGTTTTGAGAGGGGTAGGAACAGTGCCAGATGACAGGGAGAAGTTAATGATGTCGGCGAGTAGTGGGGCAAGGAAGTGGAGCTGGGATTTAAGGAGAGGGGTGGGGATGAGGTCCAGGGAGCAGGTGGTGGCCTTTATGGAGGTTACCGTGTTGAAGACAGAGGAGGGGGTGACAGGTTCAAAGGTGTGGAAAGAGGGATGGATAATTGTCGGATGGGTAATTGTGTAGGTCAGTCAGTAACTGCACTGTCAGTCACTACACTGTCAGTCAGTCACTACACTGTCAGTCAGTCACTACACTGTCAGTCACTACACTGTCAGTCACTACACTGTCAGTCACTACACTGTCAGTCAGTCACTACACTGTCAGTCAGTCACTACACTGTCAGTCACTACACTGTCAGTCAGTCACTACACTGTCAGTCAGTCACTACACTGTCAGTCAGTCACTACACTGTCAGTCACTACACTGTCAGTCAGTCACTACACTGTCAGTCAGTCACTACACTGTCAGTCACTACACTGTCAGTCGGTCACTACACTGTCAGTCACTACACTGTCAGTCGGTCACTACACTGTCAGTCACTACACTGTCAGTCAGTCACTACACTGTCAGTCAGTCACTACACTGTCAGTCACTACACTGTCAGTCAGTCACTACACTGTCAGTCAGTCACTACACTGTCAGTCACTACACTGTCAGTCAGTCACTACACTGTCAGTCAGTCACTACACTGTCAGTCACTACACTGTCAGTCAGTCACTACACTGTCAGTCAGTCACTACACTGTCAGTCAGTCACAACACTGTCAGTCACTACACTGTCAGTCGGTCACTACACTGTCAGTCACTACACTGTCAGTCGGTCACTACACTGTCAGTCACGACACGATGTTGAATTACAATAATTCATGTCAGTTGCTATGGTGACGCAGTTCTGTCGCCTGATTGGAGTATCAGTGTGTCGCGTGTTGATGACGTGTAGCCGGCCGCAACATGTCCTTCCTGCTGGACTCGGGAATCATGTTCTCCTCTCAGGTCAGACCCCCGTCCCTCCCCTCCCGCCCTCCCGCCCCGCGACACTACAGCCACCCCGGGGGCAGAGGGGGCAGAGGGTCCCGGGGGCTGAGAGTCTTAAGGAAAGTTGAGCAGAGGAATCTCAGGCTCAGTGTCCATCTGAGATGAGGGCAGTGTAAGCTCTGGACAGAGCGCTGGGCAATGGGGGAAGCAGTGAGTCAGTCCATGTGTCGGGTATAACAGGCAAATTAGTGCATTTTTCAGAAGCATTATCTTTGATTCCAGCTTTCCCATTGCTCACTGGGTCACTGAAGGTTTATTGCCATCTAAAATGTAATCCCCATCCAATGCCTGTCTGGGAGGTCTAGCTTCATTGACCTCAATGTCATGGTTGGGAAAATTCAAATAACATTGCTCATCATTTGTGAACTATGCTGGTAATTGCTTGTATATGGATACTGGCTGATTTTGAGGTGGAGAATATTGGGGATACTTACTCAGTTGAATACAGTAAAACTTGTACACAAGTCTTATCTTTATAAATAATATAATGGCCTAAATCCTACATGCAGTTGAGTCTCATTCAGTTTCCTACTACAAAAAAACACTTAGATTTCTTTGCACTAATCAGATTTTGTACAGCGGATAATTGGCTAAATCGTAACGGTTTCTTAGTTCCTAAATCCTATGCAAAGCATCTCCTAACTTGTATAGCTGCCATCACACTTACCGGCTGCATTGAATTGCAGGAAGTGAAGTCTTGACATGTCACCGCATACGCACCTACCCACTGCATTGAATTGTGGGAAATCAAAAGGGGTACTTGGAAAAGGGGAGAGGGATTGAGGAAGAGTGTTCCAGAATTTTGGAGCGTAGTAACTGAAAGCGGGACCTCTGATGGTGGTACAGAGGGTGTGAGGGATGAGCAGGAGGCCGGTACCAGTCAAGCGGAGGTGCTGGGTGGTGGATCGGGAAGTGAGGCGGTCAGAGAGGTAGCTAGGTGCCAGGGAGTGAATGGATTTCAACACGAGTGAGGATCTTGAAGTCGATCCGTTCGGTGATGGGGAGCCAGTGGATCTTGGCCAGAACTGGTGCGATGTGGGTACCAAGTTTGGTCCGGGTCAGTATGCAGGCGGCAGAGTTCTGAATGAGCTGGATCTCTTGAATGGTGGAGCTGGGGAAAACGGCGAGGAGTGCGTTGGAGTAATCCAAGTGGGAAGGACAAACGCATGCACGAGGGTTTCAGCTGCATTTGGGGTAAGGTACGGTCGAAGGCAGGCATTGTGGTGGAGGTGGAAGAAGGTGGTCCTGGTCAGGGATCGGATGTGGGGGAGGAAGGACAGCTGGAGGTTGAACTGGACGCCTGGATTGCGCGCTGGTTTGGTGAGTCTGAGGGAGAGGTTGAGGAGTTTAGATCCGCAGGAATGAAAACGTTGACGGGAGCCAAAGAGTATGGTTTCCGTCTTATCCACATTCAACTGCAGGAAGTTTACATTCATCCAGGCCTTGATGTCTGCCAGACAAGCTGATAGAACATCAGCGGACCTGGAGTTGGTACTGGAGGAGGCAAAGTAGATTTGGTGTCATCCGCATACTTGTGGAAGTTTACCCCGTATCTGCGGATGACATCGCCCAGAGGGAGCATGTAGATAAGGAAAAGAAGAGGGCCAAGGATGGAGACTTGGGGCACCCTGCAGGTGACAGGGCGGGGCCGGAGAAGAGAAACCATTCCTGAGATGAAATGGAGGTGGTTGGTTAAGGAGGACTCGAACCATGCGAGTGCGGTCCCAGTAAGTCCTGCCCGCATACTGACCAGGACCAAATTCGATACCCATATCTCACCAGTTCTGGCCAAGATCCACTGGCCCCCCATCACCAAACGGATCGACTTCAAGATCCCATGGTCCCACTAAGGTAGATGAGGGAGGAGAAGCGGTGGAGGAGGATAGTGTGGTTGACTGTTTTGAATGCGGCAGAGAGATAGATCCAGGAGGATGAGGAGGCAGAGGGAGCCCTCATCACAGAATGCTGTTTGTGACTTTGATAAGCAGTTTTTCAGGGGGCGCGGAACAGAGCCTGAGGAGAGAGTTGATCGTGTCAGCCAGTAGGGAGGAGAGAAGGGGGAGTTGAGTGACCAGCAGCTGGATAGTGAGGGGGTCAAGGCAGCAGGTGGTGAACTTTATTCGGGTGATTGTGGTTGAGTCGGAGGAGGGAGAAATGGGGGCAAAGGAGTGTAAGGAGTGGGGAGTGGCAGGATCCATGGTGGACGGAGAAGGCGGTGTGGATGTCTGGATGGGGTGGAAGGGAACCTGGGGGGAGGACGATGCAGCCAAGAAGATGTTTTCAATTTTTGATGCAACGATGTCTAGTACCTCTTGAAGTCTAACCTCACATCAAACGTGGCGTTTGATGTGAGGATAGAGGATAGAGGTGGGGCTTGAGGGGGTGCATGGAGGAAGTGATGGATGGTGGAAAACAGTATCTTTGGATTGTTGTTTGCCTCCAGGATGACTTTGGAGTAAAAGTCAGTTTTGGCTGTGGAAGAGAGAGGTGGTAGATGCAGAGGTGCTCGAGCCACAGCTGGTGGTGCATCATGAGGCCAGATCTTTCCCATCTGCGCTCGAGCATCTGGGTTTCTGTTTTAAGTGAGTGGAGATGAATGTTGTACCAGGGGAACGGGTGGGTTTGGAAACAACCCTGGATTTCAGTGGAGCCAGGGAATTGAAGGTAGTGGAGAGACAGTCATTCAGCAGCTTGATGACTGCATCAGGATTGCTGTGGGTGGAGGGCCAGAGGGAGAGGAGGTCCGAGGAAGAGAGGGCATTTGTGAGGGTCAGCCAAGCAGAGTTGGAATAGGGAGCAAGCAGGTTGGAGAGGTATGGAAGTCCCAGGGCATGAAGATATTTCTAGACGAGTGTGAGGATCATGAAGTCAAGCCGGTTTGCGATAAGGAGCCTTTGGAGCCTGGGGGGAACTGGTGTGATGGGGCTACTGCGTTTAGAGCAGGTGAGTATGCGGACAACGGAGTTTTGAATTAGTTGGATTTTGTGGATAGTGGAGCTGGGGAGGCTGGTGAGGAGGGCATTGCAATAGTCGAAGCAGGACGTGTTTAAAGCATGGTCTAGAGTTTTGGCGTTGTGAGGTGTGAGGTACGGTCAGAGGCAGGTACTGTGACAAAGGTGGAGAACTGGTTAGGGACCGAATGTGGGGTAGGAAGAACACCTGATGGTTAGGTTATACACAGTTTTTGGTAAGTCTCAGGGATAGGCCGTGGAGGTTGAGTAAGTCAGAGCCGCAGGAGAGACGAAGTTGACAGGAGCCAAGGGGTTTGGCTTCTGTTTTGTCGATGTTCAGCTGCAGGAAGTTTGCACTCATTCAGGCCTTGACTGACAAACAAGCTGACAGAACATTAACAGTCCTGGAATCACAGATTGAAGAAAAGTAGATTTGAGTGTCATCGGCATACATGTGGAAGTTGACCCCGGGTCTGCAGATGACATTGCTGAGTGGGAGCATGTAAATAAGAAAAAGAAGGGGCCCAAGGATGGAGCCTTAGGTATGTCGCCCATGACTGGGAAGGGTGGGAGGAAAATTTTAGCGAAGAGAAAGTGGTGGTGGTTGGTTACGTAGGACTTGAACCAGGACAATGTGGTCCCACTGAGGTCCAGGAGAACAAGGAGGCAGAGGGAGCCCTGGTCACAGAGAGAGAGAGAGAGAGAGAGAGAGGACATTATCTGTGACTTTGGTGAGTGCTGTCTTTGTGCTGTGGGCAGAGTGGAAACTGGAATGGAGGGGTTCGAGTAGGGAGTGGAAGGAGAGGTGTGAGCAAAGTTAATTCAATGCAGCCAATAAGTGTATATGCATGCGGTTACAGGTCAAGAAAGCATATGCCAGCTGATTTGAATTGCAGGAAATGAAGTCTTGACCCGTTACCGCATGGGCATTACCGGCTGCATTGAAGTACAGGTGAACAGTTAGATTATTGACTAACACATATATTATACGACTTATGCAAGTTTGCCTATTTGGGTGGTGTTGAGTTGATGTTTAAAATTATTTACTATGTTGGTTTGGCATGGTTCCAACCTTTGTGAAAATTACAGTGAAAGTCATCACATCTGTAACATCCTTGGAGTCTCAAGCTGTTTTCTATGTTGCTTTGTAGGTCCTATTTTTTGGATTTGGATGGCTATTCTTCATGCGACGGTTGTTCAAAGATTACGAGGTAAATTTCAAACTATTTTCTTTAAAAACTCACTCGGAGAAAGAAGTCTAATTTACTGTTTTATAAAGAGAGCTTGGTATGAATTTGCATCAGTTCAGTGTCCTGTCCGTGAGAGATGAATCAGTCATGCAGTATCTCCCTCTTTTCCCTTTACCAGGTTCACATTATTCTGCTGTACAAGATTTCATTTAATTCATTTGTAGAATATCCTCTTACGTAGAGCAGGTAACATTCCTCATATGTGTTTCACAGAACTAAAGGTTATTCTTTATTCCCCTGCAGATCCGACAGTATGTCGTCCAAGTGGTTTTCTCTGTGACGTTTGCTTTCTCCTGCACCATGTTTGAACTGATCATCTTTGAGATTCTGGGTGTTTTAAACAGCAGGTGAATAAATAGCATGTGGCATAGCCTGGTAGTACCACCCTTGTCTAAGTCAGAATGTTTTGAGTTCAATATTTGAACTTGTGTAGTCGTGTAGTCTAAGCTGACACTTCATTGTGGTGCTTGCGTGATATTGCATTGTTGGAAATACCGTTGTTCAGAAGAGCAGAAATCCCGTCTGACAGTTCAGGTGGATGCTAAAGATGCCATGGCACTATTCAAAAAGAAAAGGTGGTTCCTCCCGGTGTACTGGCCAACGATCACTTCATTCACGCCCCCCCACCACCCCCACGCCCCCAAATTAGCTGTCAAATACCACAACAACAACATAATTACATTTGTATGAATTTGTAAAGTTCCTTTCATGTCGGGAGAACGTACCGAGGAGCTGGGACGTCATTCAACTTCACAGTCAATACAGTCATTTCACTTCACAGTAAATCCTGTGAAGCACTTTGGGATGTCCTCCCATTGTGAAGGTACTATATACCAACTGCAATGATTAATATTATAAATATTCTTTATAAATAGCATTGATGCTTTCACCAAGTAAGGATTAAAAGAAAACGATCCCAGAACAATTAAACTAGAAAATGCCATTATTTACAAATGGGAATGAATAATAATTTGCTAATGCCAGTGCGATGTGATGATCTCTCCCAGGCATGTCAACATGTCAGGAATTGCAATTTGTTTATTCTTTGGATGAGTGATATATTTCCAATGAATTTTGGAATTTATTGAATAAATCACAGTATAGAATAATTTGCTGCTCATTGAAATGATTATTTAAAGGAAGGAGATTTGGTTGTCACATACTGTATTGAAATAGATTGGAATCGTGGGAGGGGAATGTATAGATCAAATGTTTTTGATGTATCTTCATTATAGTCTTGCGCCTATTCATTACCTATTCGTATCCCAAATGTTTTCAAAGTGCAGAAATAGCCACCCACTATGTAACAGGAAAATCTGGCAGATTATATTCCACGGTAGCCCCTTGGTTTTGTACTTGCGGTCTCACTGATTGAACAACTCAGGACTGTTGGTGGGTTTGCTGGCCCATGTAAAATAATCCTTGAATTTGATATAGCGCCTTATCATGTCTTCGAGACATCTCAACGTGCTTCTAATAATAATCCTTGCATTTGTTATAGCACCTTATCACATCTTTGAGACATCTCAAAGTTCTTCTACTAATAATAATCCTTGCATTTGGTATTGCGCATTATCACGTCTTTAAGATGTCTCAAAGCGCTTCACAGAATATACTGTAAAGTAAATTGACTCTATATTTGGTGAGCGAAATACGGCAGCCAATTGCGCCCAGCAGTGTCCCACAAATAGTGGATTGAAGTGACTAATTTTTTTTGAAGAAATTATTATCCCCCGAAAAGCAATCCGCCGATCAACTAATAAATGGGTTCCTACTTACTGCTAGGTAAACAGACACATGTGGAGTAAGGAAGCTTACCCAACATTTTGCCCTGGCGGGAATCAAACCCAGGTCTCTCGCTTTCGAGTGCTCTAATTACTGAGCTACAGGAATAAACTGTAAAGTTAATTGACTAATTTTGTGGGAGAAATGCGGCAACCAATTGCTCACAGCAATATCCCACAAACAGTTGTTGATTTTGTGGCCAAATTATTATTTTTAAAGTTTTCTTTTATTACCCCCGGAAAAGCGATCCGCCAATTCACTAACAACCGGATTCCTACTTACTGCTATGTAAAAGGCATGTGGAGTAAGGAAACTTGCCCAACGATTCGACCTGCCCAGGAATCGAACCCAGATCCTCTCACTCTAACCACTAAGTTCTAGGACTCCATGCGGATGGATGGCATTCCACAGAAAGTCTGCAGTGTGAATCAGTCTAGAATATTCTGGTTCAGGAATATTTTAGGCAGATTTATAGGAACATTTTGTTTTTCTGCTTGTTTCTGGATAGCTGTACAGCTGTAATGTAATCTTTCATGTGTTTTTTTATCTTTTTTAGCTCACGATATTTTCATTGGAAACTGAATCTGTACGTTATCCTGATGGTGCTCATATTTGTTGTGCCTTTCTACATTGCTTACTTTGTAGTCAGCAACATTCGACTCTGTGAGTAACTGCAACCATATACTATATGAATATGCATGAAGGAGAAATTGTTTAAATTGTCTGAGTGCTACTTTATTAATGAATAGATTATAATTGATTCGAAATGTTTCCTCATAATTTGTGTTATGCAGCGGATAATTTTAAATGTTCATAACTTATCCTAATATGTTAAAGTACACAACAAAGTAAAGTTAAAGTGGAAAAGAAATAGGTATGGGGCAGGAGTTTAGGAGGGGTGGAAGCTTCTGTGGAATATAAACACTGGCACAAACTAGTTGGGCTGAATGGCATGTTTCCACACTGTAATGTGCTATGTAATTCTATCTAAATAAACGTGAGGCAACAACAATTTTCATTTCTACAACACCCTTCACACGAGATAACGTTTCAGAGCTCTTTTCAGAGGCAATTCTATACTACGTGGCCTGATCCACAATGTACATGGTGAGTTTTAGCAATATGCCTCAGATAAATATAATTGGAAGAGCCAAATTCTGATTTGAAAATGGATTATGCAAGTTGGGAACAATACCCAGCCAGAACATTGGACTGGCAACATATTTCTATTTTAGCTGCTAGTTCTTTTTCACTTGTGTTTGTCAGTTGTTTTCAACAGTTTAATTTATGAGCAATTTGAAATAGTCACATAATAAAAGTTAAGACAACCATGTAATAAATTTAAGGTACAATTCTTTCTCTGCTTTGTCTTGCTGAACAATTTACAAGACTTAAGTTTTCTACTGGCATTTTATACTTTAGTTGCAAAGGATTGGAACTACTATTTCACTGACAGGTGGGTCGGTAACCTGAGGATACCGATTTAAAATAGTTGTTAAAAGAAATAGTTATTAAAAGAGGAGAAATCTTTTTTACGCATCGAGTTGTTCGGATCTGGGATGCATTGTGTGAAAAGGTGGCAAAAGATGATTCGATAACAGCTTTTAAGAGAGAAATAGATAATTATTTAGGGAGAACAAGTTTGCAGGGCTATAGGAAGAGAGCGGGGGAATGGGATTGAATTGGATAGCTCTTTTAAAAGAACCGGGACAGACACGATGGGTCGAATGGCTTTCTTCTGTGCTGTATAATTCTATGATTCTATGAATTATACATGGACGCGCCATAATAGTACATCAGAATCTACACAAGAATGGCGACCAACAAGTTAGATTTCTTTAAAAAAAACAGCAAAATACTGCAGATGTTTAACCGTCAGAATAAGACTGTTCTGACGAAGTCGTGGACCCAAAATGTTGACTCACTTTCCTTTCTCCGTAGATGCTGCCTGACCTGCTGAGTGTTCCCATCAACTTCTGTTTTTGTGTAGATTTCTTTGGTATTTACAATGTATGTTGATTTTTGCTTTTCTATTTCAGTGCAACAAAAGAGATTATTGTTTGCATGTATGGTGTGGCTGACATTCATGTACTTTTTCTGGAAACTTGGGGATCCTTTTCCTATCCTTAGCCCAAAACATGGTGAGTCCATTGTCAGAAGGTGTGAATTATGATTTGTTTATCTTTTTTTCAACTGTAATAAACTAGGTCATCCTGCACCCGAAACTTGCTAAAAACCCGAAAAAAATAGATAGATCTTAAGTTATTTTCAGTACTTAAATAAAACTGTGTTCCGGTAGTGGTTTCAAAAATGGAGAGAAATATGTGATTGATGAACATCTCTCTGAAGCTTGCTATCTTCTTGCTACTTGTTGTTGTTGTTGTCAGTTTGTGATCCCATTAGGTCTTCTTGGATGCACGCACCTATGTCATTCTTGAGTTATACCACATTCATGTGCTTTGTCACAGATTTGAAATGGAAGTGATTAGAGTTTTGAAATAGCTAATTGAATATTTCTAATTTTTTAAATTGTTAGAATTATCTGTAAACTGGAAAAAGCAGTCCTATATAACATACTAGTTGCACCCATTGCAGCTTTGCTTGCATGGACGATATATCTGTGTATCAATCTACATTCCATATTGGATCCTTTGGTTGCAAGCAAAGCTGCAATGGGTACAGACATTTTGTCTTTTGTCTCAGCTGGGAGGACTCCTGTAATATATTTCCTTTCACTTTTCCTTTCCTTGCTGTCTCTCTCTCTCAGTCTCTTTCTCTCTGTCTCTCTCTCAGTCTCTCTCTCTCTCTCTCACTCTCTCTGTCTCTCTCACAAAACACACAGTCACTACACTTTATAATATATTATCTCATAGATTTTTTGTCTGCAGACCATTATTATGCACTTTATGTCACAATAGACATGATGTCCATTTTTAATGTAGCTCATCAACAGTAGGAGAGCCCCCACCAAACAAATATGCCCATGACACTGCCAAGTGCAAGACCTTTCCAATGAGGCATAAATCATATCTCTGTGTCAATCGGTTATTGCATGATTGTCAGATACACTGACACAGACAGACAGACAGACAGACAGACAGACAGACAGACAGACAGACAGACAGACAGACAGACAGACAGACAGACAGACAGACAGACAGACAGACAGACAGACAGACAGACAGACAGACAGACAGACAGACAGACAGACAGACAGACAGACAGACAGACAGACAGACAGACAGACAGACAGACAGACAGACAGACAGACAGACAGACAGACAGACAGACAGACAGACAGACAGACAGACAGACAGACAGACAGACAGACAGACAGACAGACAGACAGACAGACAGACAGACAGACAGACAGACAGACAGACAGACAGACAGACAGACAGACAGACAGACAGACAGACAGACAGACAGACAGACAGACAGACAGACAGACAGACAGACAGACAGACAGACAGACAGACGTTGTTGTTTTATTAGTATAGATATAATAGTGGTCAGCGGTTTATAAAAACTGAACCTCGGAGTACTGCTGAGCCTCAGAACCCACAATGCTACATCAGATTGGGCTTTATTTATAGGTAAACCATAATACCACATCATTGCATCTATTTATGTTTAAAGTTAATGTTTTGGCAGGTGTTTAATTTTTGCTATGTACTTTGGCATGCAGGGTGAGTTGTTTGGCATTCATCATACATTGTGAAGTACTAATAATAATAAACCCAGCATTTGATATAGCACCAATAGTATCGAGATCATCTCAAAATGTTTCACAAAGTTTCTGTAAAGTATAAAAGCTGTGTATTTGTTGGCAAAAGCAACAGCCAACTTGCACAGCATTATCCCACAAAAAACATGAAGTGGATGATCAGTTTTGTATGGAGAATTGTTGGCCAGAAAAGTGCCATAAGAATTTTAAAGTCCACCTGTACAGGCAAAATGGACCTTGCTTTAAAGTCACAACTGAAGGATGGCACCTCTTGACAATCCGGTGCGCCTCCAGAACAGCATTGCAGTGTTAGTCTAAGCTATGACTTCAAACTGAAGAAGGCCTGAACCAATTGAGCCAGGTTGGCACCTGTTAGTTTTATCTGTTGGATGGTTCCTGTCAAGGAAACGATTTTGCTTGTGATTTTTGCACCTCACTTTACCAGAAGAGTTAGAAAAAAAATTGAGCAGGCTAAACCTTATTTTCCTTAAGGCCAGTTCCTGATCGTCATTGAACTGTTCAGTGAACACACTTGTGGTAGGTAAACAGGTAAAGGTATCAGGATCGTCAGTAACACAAATAGGGTAGACAAAAATACAGTTCTTTCTATGAGCAATTGGGTCGCAAGCCTAAAAGTGCAGGAGGCATTTGTTTATTTATGTACAGGCAGTTCTAGCCTGGAAAATATTTTTGACTTGGCTGGATCAAACCGCAGTCTGAACAAGTGGAACTATGAGACGTTTAGTCTTTTTTCCAACTTACTAGTAAAACAACTTTAAATCTTATTGTTTATTTAACTTGTGTTACCATTGTTTTATTTTCTTCCTCTATCAGGTATTCTATCAATTGAACAACTGATCAGTAGAGTTGGAGTAATTGGTGTGACATTAATGGCGCTCCTGTCTGGCTTTGGTGCAGTGAACTGCCCATACACCTACATGTCGTACTTTCTGAGGTGAGATGAAAGGTTTTTGGTTACTGTAAAGAACAATATAAATGTAAATGTATTAATGTAATGCTATTGCCATTTTGGATCTATTTACCAAATATTGTTAGTGACCAAGGCAGAATCTTGAAATTCCAATTCTGAATTATTTTAAGGTTTGGTAATATGTTCTTTGGTTTTGTTCATAGGAATGTAACAGACAGCGACATCCTTGCATTAGAGAGACGGTTACTTCAGACTATGGACATGATTGTCAGTAAGAAGAAGAGGTAGGAAGTGGAAAGGCAAAGAACATAAGTGCTGTTTCTTTAAAGAAATACTCAATGATAAGACACAGTAGGGTTGAAAATAAGGTATCCACAACCTAGATTTGGAATTGTAAATATAAAATCCTGAAGATAACTGGATGTAGGACCTGTGAGAATTTAATTCTGATACAATCAATTTTCATAGGGCCTGTCAGAGCAGAATTCTTAAGGGTTAACCTGATAATGTTTGGTTACTGCCAAGTTCCTTTAAGAAGGTTGTGACTCCTACACTGTAGGCCAAGCTATATTTTAGCATCTTATTCTTTAATTTGTTTCAAATGTTCTTTTGCAATCTTAAAAAGTTTTGCAATCACCAAGATGATTGCTCTCCCATTTGATCAATCATCTTGCGATTCCAAGCAAGAATAGGGGGAAGGAAGAAATGTGACTTTGGTGTTATTCTGCTGAGTCTTGGCTCCAAAACATGGCTTTCATTCTCCATATATTATAATAATAATCTTGCAATTTGTATAATGCTTTATTATGTTGAAACACTGTAAAGTGCTTCACAGTTTTGTACAAAGTTTAGGTGAATATAACAGCCAATTTTCACGCAGCATTGTCCCACAAACAAACAGGAGGTGAATTACCAATTAACTGGAGGATTGTTGGCCAGGATACTGGAAAAAACTCATCTTTTCGAATGATGTCATGGGTTCATGTCACAAGGACATAATTTCTAAGTTTGCAGGTGACAAGAATGTAATAATAGTAATAATAATCCTTTATTTCATATCGCGCTTTTCAAGTCTTCTAGCTAATCCCATAATATGGGAAACGTCTGTGAAACGGCTCAAAGTGCTTCACCGAATATACTGTAATTGATTGTGTATTTGTGGGCGAATAGTTAGTTTGGCTAACAATTAAGAAAATGATAAGCAACTTCAGGGGACATAGACAGATTAATTGATTGGACAGAGAAATGGCAAATGAAATTTAATGTGAGCAAATATGAGGTTAAACATTTTAGGAGGAAGAATAAGATGAATGTGTATATGTTGAGTGGTAAAATATTAAAAAGGAGTGGAAGAGCAAAAGGTCTTGGGAGCTCAAATACATAAATCCTTAAAGATAGGTGGACAAAACTTTCAAAAAAGCTCATAGAATCCTGTGTTTTATAAATAGGGGTATAGAATACAAAACAAAGAGGTAATACTAAACATATCTATTGTTAGTTAGACTGCAGTTAGAATATTGTGTCCAGTATTGATCACCCACTTTGGGAAAGATATCAAGGCGATAGATCAAGGCGGTGCAGAAGAGATTCACTCGGATGATAGAGGGGATGAGTGGTTTGGCCTTTTTCTGTACTATAAATTTCTGTAGTTCAATTAACATCCAAAAGATATGTGAGGATATTGCTGTAAAACACAGTAAAAAAGATAGAGCAAAATGTTAGATAAACTGAATTATTTAGGGTGTAGACAATAATGATAATAATCCTAAGTAGAACCTGTCACCCTTGGAGGGCTCTTCACAAGATATAAAGTGGAGTGACTCTGTCTTGTGGGCGAACATGGCAAACAATTTTCACAAGCAATGTCCCACAAATAGCCATGAAGTGAATGACCAATTTTATTTGGGGGATCGTTGGCCAGGACACCAAGAGAAATTCCCTTCTCTTTTTGATTAGTGGCATAGGATCCTTAAAGTGCACCTGAACAGGCAGACAGGAGCTCTCTCACTGGTATGGCACCGTCAACAATATAGCAAATCCCCAGCAGTGTCAGCCATGAACTCCAAATCCAGATGCTGCCATGGGTCTTGAACCCATAAGCTTCTGACTCAAGAGGCGCAAGTGCTATCAGCTGAGCCAAGCTGGCACACATTCCCAATACAATACTTATATTTATTTAAATATTAATCTAGGAGTCTATTTCTAATTAGAAAATAAGGAAGCTTATATGGAAATTGGACCAAACCTTCTTCAAAATATCAGAAATTTAATTGAGCTGCATCTAAACGTTGCCCGTGTTGTCAACCTAAATCAACTAAGTGAGAGGTTAAAAGGCCCCACCTAAGTGGTGTTTTGTGTCAGTGCCGAGACTGACAATTTTGAGTACAATGCAGTATAAGGGAGGCAGTCTCGCCTCGTTGTTGAATCAACTGTGTCAGCAGATTCCATGAGTGGAATGTGATTTCATGTACTTTTTCCAAAGTCTAAATGAATTGAAATATTTTACCAGCAAAGAAAACTTTAAACAAAGAGAATTTTATATTGTTGTTAATCAAACATGTTCTCTTCAGCTCAACATTGTCTGTCACAGGGGATGTCGGGTATCTCTATATGTCATACTTAGAGTGAAACTGCAGATGTTTAAAGCTTCCTTAAATCTGGTGCACTTGAAGGAGGAAACCTATTTTAAAAAAACATTGCGTTGTATTAAAATTAAATTGCACAAAATTGCTTCTCCTGTCTGATTATGTCATTTTATATGTAGTGTAACATGCTCAAAATAATCTACAAAATAATCATCTAATCAAGGTCCTGAAACACACTGTAAAATTGATTTAGGTTCAAAAAGTGTTAACTTGCTACGCTGCTACCTAAAAAGCATATGAATTAGTCAAAATGCTTCAAATGAGTTAGCTTTCTATCACAAGATACATTTGCAGACATTTTTCTAAGTTCTGATATTTATCACTGTTGTTAAACGTGGCTTACTTTCTTTTACAAATGTAGGTAAATGAACATAACTTTTGAATGTTTGTGATTATTAAATATCACACTGGGATTAGATAGTGATGATTTGAAATAAGAGTTGTTAATAATGACTGAGTCACAAGTAGAATTCCTTCCAGTAACAGGAAGTATGTCATTCTGCTCAGCAGTAACTCTTTGCCAACTTCTTTGCCATAGTGGAGTACCCATATATCAATGTGACACACTTCTGGTTAAGAAGAAGTCACTTTTGCAATTTGGAGTTGCTGTCATTGACTCTGATTACAAATAGCTGCAAATACTACAGTATCCTAGTTTTGAATTTATTGCATGTGGATATTGTAAACCACTGCAGTAACTGCTAAGGAGCTGCTAGTGGTGCTGTTAAACCATTAGAAGCAACAGACCTCAACCATTCCACCAGCAGGAAGCTGGAGATATAGCTTCCTCCTTTTAAAATCTTGGTCTTTTCACACTGGGCTAAATAATGTGTTGATCATTAGTGCTAATGAATATTATATTCCATGCTTATAATAGGAAAATCTGTGTTTAATCATGTCAACTTTCCACCCTTTACGGGCTGAATGGTAAAAGGAGAATTAAGACTGAAAAATTCAGGTTAGAACCTAAAGCAAATGTGTGACTGGAGGACCTGACCACACATTGTACACCTAAGTAAAGACAGTGGTGGACGGTTTTGATTTAATTATTTTACATAAATGGTGGTTAAGATGTGGAAATGTTTGTTGAGAGAAGTGGATGAGTGGTTGGTTTTATACGTGTATGGTTTTTATTACAGAGAAGCCCATTATAATGAGGCATTTTGGATCCATAAAATCCCAACCACGTTATGGTGAGGCACAACAGTGGGATTGACTGTTCCAGCCATTTGTCCTGGGCTAAAAGAAAAAAATGGCTGACTATTAGGACAATGGTTTACTGCAATATCACCTCCTGTTTGCTGCGAAAGCACAAAGCGATGTGACACGGCGACCGTAGTACCCAGAAGTTAGCTATTTGTTTTAGTGCCGGAAGCTAAAATAGTGTCCCAATGTCCAGGAAGTCAGTCATTTTAGTGTGAATAAATGGTAGCTCAGTGGTTAGAGCACTCGCTTTGCAAGCGAGAGACCTGAGTTCAATTCCAGGCAGGGCGAAACCTTGGGCATGTTTCCTTACTCCATACAGAGCCTAATAATAATCCCTCCAAAACAAAAAAAAAATAAATTAGTCATTTTCAATCCATGACTGTTTGTGGGACATTGCTGTGCGCAATTGGCTGCCGCGTTCCCCCATATATATGCAGTCAATTCACTTTACAGTGTGTTCTGTGAAGCGCTTTGGGATGTCCTCCCGACGTGAAAAGCGCTATATCAAATGCAAGGATTATTATTATTATTATGGTCGGAGTCTGGAAAGCAAGCAGGCAGGTTGCAAACATGGGCAATCAATGTGCAAGTGAGTTTAGGCTGCACTGATGGACTATATATTGGGGCTGCATTGAACTCTCCTAAATTTTCCTCTGTTACTATAGAATCTACTCTTAGGGCCTCAAATCTCTGGATGACATCGTTCTTACGAAGTTTGTTGTTAAAGAGCCTACATATTTTTCAAGGGACTTTGATTTACTTTTATGAAAGGGACAAATTGTAGTTTGAGGATGGAGGAAACTAAATGGTGAAAGTGTGGAGATAGGAGCATATTATAGGATTAGCTAGTTAGGGAGTACCAATGAGGAACTGTCGTCCAGGAGATAAAGTGGGAAGGATGACGTCCACTGTGGTTTGTGGAAGGAGTGACCCTGCAGGTTCTTGTTCAGTGCTTCGATATTCTTTTGAAAGTGGTGCCTCTACATGCCGTGGATATCAGCTGTCTTGACAACTCACTCAAGTAGCCATTGTTCATGTGTAAGCCTAGACCACAAATCTTATTCAACCAATCCAGGGGGGGTGGGGGTTACAGCTGAGCTCAAGTTGAAGTCAGCTAACTTAACACAAACCCAGGAAACCGAAAAAGGAACTTCTGGATCTGTATGCCTCAGTTCCCCTATAAGTGGTTACGTTATTAATTGAGCCATTGGGGCGTACTTATCACAATTCTACCTCTCACCAGAGCATCTGATATGATTTATTTCCTATTGTTGCTTTCCTTTTAAAGATTTTGAATAAATATGGCAATATACCAATAAGTTCTCATCATATTTAGCTTTTTTTTATTGATTTATACACCTTAACTTTTTTGTGACTACTCTGTGGGAAATTCATGAGCAAGGCTGTCAGCTTGTGACCTTTATTTGTAACAT